TTTAAAATACATTATGTTTCATTTAATGCTTTAAAGTCTATATGTATTTATAAAGTTGGTATCAACAGTATACCGAAGCCCACTTTCATACTCAGAAATCCTCTGCAGGTTAGCTTTTATTTTTATGCATTTACTGTTTTCATTCACAAACTAAATTTTGTACTAACATATTTTTAAATAACATATTTAAAAATTTCTTAAAAAAAAATAAACTAAATTTTATTTTTTCTCAATTAATCATAGTTTTAAAATTAATTTAAAATGACCTGAAATATTAAGATTTAACTTTACATGATTGTACTTATTTTTGTGAATATTATGGTAAATTTAGGTAAAAGTTTTTAATAATGAAGGTCAACTCTAAAGTTAAAGATATTTGATATGAAAGGAAAAGACTATGTTTTTCTACTTAAAGTAAAGGAAAATATATTTTTGAAGTATTAAGAATCTTAGAGTTTCATATAAGAAGAAAAGAATGAAATTTTATAAAAAGTTACTAACTAATATGAATTTAAAAAGTGAAGAAAGGTAAAGAGTTTTAACTTTCAAAAGAGGATAGTGAAGTTCAAAATTTTTAAAGGTTATCCACATATAGTAACCCTCACTTGAAAGAGAAAAAAAAATGATTGAGAAGATCTTAAAAGGAAAAAGGAAAAAAAAAGAAAAAAAAATGAGTAAGGAGAAGCTCAAGGAGATATCAAATAAAAAATTCGCTTCACTTGAATCAACTTAAGAAAAAGGCTTTATTACATTTTTTAAACTTGTATTGGAGTAGTAGTAGCATTATTAGTAAAGATTTCATGAAGTTATTTTTCATATGAACGTTCTAGGTATCCTTGACATGACAAATTGCAATTTTTCTTGAAATGATAGAGATTCAGAAATTTTAAATTTGATTATTAAATACTCTTGGGCATATAGTTTGAATCTAAGTTATTAATGGTTTTTTTTAAATTTTATTATTTTATTTATTAAACTAAAATATAGAAGTTAAAAGTTAATCTTTATCCTAAGTCATATGCTTTTATGTAGTAAAAGTGTCATTGGAGGACATGTAAAATTTAAGTTTAGGGAATTTTGATACACCAAAATAATGTGTTGTTTTAAGTATACATTTTATGTTTATTTTTGGTAATATTGCACTTTAAAAAAGAGTATTTTCATATTTTTGTTGCAGGTATATCAATTTTAGGCATTTAGAGCAAAAGTAGCAAAAATAATGAAATTTGGAGCCAAAACAACGAATTTTGGTATTCTGGCGTCTTATGCGCCTGAAACGCCATTTAACAGAGAGTTGGCACCATATGCACCAGATTTGGCGCCTAAAGTGCCAAAACCCAGAACACGCTGTCTTTAGCAAGTTGGAGCCTGAGGCGCCAGAACTGGTGTCAGATGCGCCAGAGACAACTTTTGCAGATTAAGGCGGTTCAAGACAAATTTTGTGCAAATTTTTAAATGGAAACTTGTTCTAAACACTCCTTAGAGTGATTTAAATGCATCTAAAAACTTTGGAAGGTTCTTTTACGAAGAGATATGTCTCTTGAATCAATGGACATGTCTTTTAAATTCAAAATGGTTGACTTTGGATAAAATTTAGGAAGGAATTTTGAATTCTTTTTGAAGGGAGGAAGGCTTTTATAAATGAGATGGAAGTCTAGGGCTAGAAGAGAGTTTCTGGTGTGGCGTGTAAAGGGGGAAAAAGAGAGAGATAGAGAGAGAAATTCAAGTGCTTGGAGTTTTTCTTCGAGGAAATTAAGAAGAGAGGGAAAGTTGTGTTACTTGTAAAAAAAATTCTAAGAGAGGATTGAGAATGCTTGTAAAAAAAATTCTAGGGATTTACTTGGGAAGGATTGTGAGATAAGTTGTGTTATTTGTTTCTTTTGTTTTTTAAACTTGTTTTTATATATGAAATTTGTGTTTTGTCGTATCCTTCTCATGAATTCTAAGTAGTCTTCTATATTCTTCTCCCTACTTTGAAATATGGTTTTGTGAAGAATTGATCTTGTTTTATACGGCTTTAAGTGTCAATAATTTTTGGTGATTCAAATTTGATCTTCATTTACTTTTTGATCTGACCAATTGAATTGTTAAAATGTGTTGAGAAACATATGCTCCTGAAGGGATCTGATTTATACAACATAAAGAGAATCACATTTCATTTCATGGGAGAGGATGCCATCTATGGAGTTGAGTGTAAATAAATAGAGAAAAATACTTTGTTGGAAGTAGAATTATAGATTTCAAGGTGATATTGTAAAATCCCCAATTTAGTCCAATTGATTGGAAACTAATGCGATATTGTTAGCCCTTAGGTGAGGGAGTTGTGGGAGCCTAGAGTGGCAGCCAATATCCTCCCAGCCTAATCACGAAATTAGGGACCAAACTCTTAATTAGTCAATGTTCTTTATGCACTTGGAAGACGGTAAAGAATAGGATTACTCTTATGTGGCACAAAAGAATTTATATATATTTTTTCAAAGATTTTGATTTCTTCACAATCTATATACTCATTGTAACGGGGAATGTTATTTTCTTAAATTTTAACTCTTCATCACAAAACCTTTATTTAGATTTCGTAAGTTTGCTTTTGAAAGTTTAGTAATTAGTTTAATTAACTTTATCTTTTACTGCATTTTATTTTGGCATTCACTCTATTATTTTATATTCGAATTTCACACTTCACTTTTGTATTTTAAAAATATAGTTTACATTATAATCTTAAGAATTTACTTAAAGGCATTTTCAACTTCTCTATGAGCTCGATATTTAGGACTCCATTAGAGCTCTATTATTACTTGAGCAATACGTATACTTGCGTTATTTTTAGGGGATTTGACAGTTTAATGATTTTTAGAAATAAAGCTATTTTCACTAAAGTTATTTTTGTTGGGATTAAATTGCATATTTACTATTGTATCTGTCATGTGTATTTTGTAATATTGAATAATATTTGCAAACTTAACACAATAAATCCAACAGTATAAGATATCAACGAGAAAACATATAATAAGGAACAACCTCATGTAAATGTCCAGTAAGAGCATCCATAACTAAAGCAAAAAGGTCAGCTTTCCATACGTATGAGCGTCGAAGAGGTGAAGTCGCCAGAGCTGAAGTCGCCGCCGAAGTTGTGGTTGCTGGGGCGCTGAAGTTGCCAGGAGAGGGAAAGGGAGGATTATGGCACGAGGAGAGATTGAGACCGAGAGAGAGAGGATTAGGGCAGGACCAGGAGCGTCTCGATTTCAAGGGTATAAATGATTCTTTATGTCGGCTTACAAATGACATACAAATCGTCAGTTATTAACAGTAATATCAACCGTTGCTTATTAACTAACATCGTCAGTTAACACCTTCCCAAATGGCAGGTCCTTAAATAATTGACAACATAAAGAAGTAATTAATTGCTTGCTTATAACCGACAGTAAAAATGATCGGTAATAATAAAAAAATATCAGAAATAATTTATGTTGAAAAGCGGCTTCAAGTCCTGTTGTTATGTAATCAGATATAATTCATCACATAAACCGTCAGAAAATATGATATTTTTATCGACGTAAGTTCAAACCGTTGGTTTTGCGCTCAGTTTTAGCTCTTTTTATTGTAATTTTTTGCAGTTGCATATGTTCAAGTGTAGGCCAAGGATGTGCCTTGTTGTTATGATCCTATGGTGGTTATTTGAAAGATCTATGCACATATTCTTGAGGCTTGCTTATAATCGACAGTAAAACGCATCGGTAATAATAAAAAACTATCGAAAATAATTTATGTTGAAAAGCGGATTCAACTTTTGTTGTTATGTAATCAGATATAATCCATCACATAACCCGTCAAAAAATATGATATTTTTATCGACGTAAGTTCAGATTGCTGGTTTTGCCATCAGTTTTAGCTCGTTTTATTGTAGTTTTTTGTAGGTTCATATGTTCAAGTGTAGGCCATGGATGTGCCTTGTTGTTATGATCCTATGGTGGCTATTGGAAGGATCTATGCTCATGTTCTTCAGGCTTGCTTGGATAAAATCTTCAAGCTTGCTTCATTTTTCATTTTGAATGTTTGAGTATGGTTCATGATTGTTTCTTATAATGATAAATGAGTCTTTTTTTTTGCATACTAATATATATTATCGACCTACTTAACATATATCCAAAATGTTGACATTTATAGAGCAAGTTCAAATTAGAGCTATTGCTCTATTTATTTTCTAATTAAATGAGATTTATCAAACAATCTATCAAGTAATATAATTAAACTATTTTATTTCTAATCAAAAATATTTAATTGAGACTATAAATGAGTTGCTTGTTATACTTATAAAAATATGTGAGCGCTTAAATGAACAAGCATCCAAGTAAATTACTAAAATTAGCATATAAATGTTCAAAATTGATAGACAACTAAATAGGTAAGCAATTAAACTTATTTTATGTACTATTAATATAAAAACAATTTAAATTAATATAAATTAGTTTTATTTGATTTTTAATTGAGTTTTTTTCATAAGCATTAAATTAAGCTTTAACTCATCTTATCCATGACTATTAAATCAATGTTTTAATCAAGCTAATTCATGAACATTAACTCAAATTATCCGTCGAGCTTTTAAAGGAGCTTGTTACAATGCTTTAAAATATATTGTTCCTAAACATATATGAATTTAGAAAGGAGTTATTCAAGTTCGTTCATTTAACAATTGAGAATTTATAAAGGTATCCGAAATTGTTCAAATAGTTAAACAAAGTCAACAAAATCTTTTTGAGCGGAGCCACAAGTAGCTTATCAAATCCTTGGTTCCTTTATAACCCTAGGTAAAGTGACATTTATGTAAAATTTATCATTAGGTGTTAAATATGTAAATTAGTAAATTTTTGAAGATTTTGGTTTAATCCACTCCTATTTATACTTTAATTCAATCAACGTTCCTATTTTATCTTCATTTTACATCTAATTAAAAAACTTTAAAATATTTCAAACCAATTTAACTTGTAAATTTTTTTGTCGGAATGTAAAAATTAATAACATAGCGCATGCACTCAATAACGATCAATCTAGCTTAATCGATCATAATATTTTCCAAACATAAATTAACCTCGGCAAAAACCAACAATTAATACTGCAAGGCCCTAAGCTCACATGGAAAGCAAGGCGACTGTCTCCACACATCCCCATGCATCCTCATCATTTTCAACGCCTTCTCCTTCGTCGTCGACCGCCCATCATCCCCATGAATCAATCCCAACAGCTTCTTCACCGCCCCGCAAATCATCATATCATCAACCACTTTCTTCGTCGGAAAAAAACAACACACTAACCACAAGACTTTAACACCAAGCTTCGTCTCCGCGTCGAACTCTCTCGCCGTTATTTTGCTCGAAACGGCCGCGACTCCGAATCCGTAATCCGCAAACGCCGATCTCCCCTCCGCGCACTCGCACAACCTTTTCAGAAGAAACAGAGTTCTCTGCCCTTTGTGCCTTCCGGCATCCGGGAGAAGCTCGATTAACACGCGAACAGCGCCTGCTTCGATGGCTTTAAGACGATTTGACTTGGAATTTTCCAAGGCGTTTAAGAGGAGATCGAGGGAAGCTGAGCTCAGCCTAGAGGAAGTATCATCGGAGAGGAGATCGAGAAGAGATTTGAAGGCGTCGTTGTTCTGATGGAGCTGGTCAGTTAGAGAAGACTTCAGCTTCGAAATCCTTTGTAGGAGGGCTATAGCATTTAGCCTTGCCTCCGCGCTGCCACGCTGAAGAATTAGTAGTATCGCATTGATACTATCTGGTTTTGAAAAAAGCTCCACTGACTCATCGTCGTAGTCGAAAGGAAGGGTGTTGAGAACTCCAAGCGCTTCCTCGCAAGCTCGGAAGGAGTTGAAATCGGAGGAGTCAGTACAGTCGGTGATTATGCAACTGAGAGCTTCCATTCCGCCGGAGGAGATGAAGACAGGGTGGTTTTCACTGGTGAAGGAGCGAAGTTTTTTGAGGTAGTTGACTTTAAAAGGGGACGACTCCATGGTGGAGAAGATGGAGGTTAGTTGGTGGACTTGGGATGAGGAAGGCGAAGAAGGGGAAGGGAGTGAGGAGAGATGTTGGTGCTGGGTACACCATGAGAGGATCAGGTTTTTAAGAGTGTGGTTGGGAATGAGGTCGAAGGTGGAGAGGAGCTGCATGGTGGCGGGGCAGGTGGATTTTTTGTAGGTGAAAAGCCATTTCTCGATGCTGCGGCGATCGTAGGTGATGCCGGTGGAGATTGTGACTGGGTTTTCCATCAGTTCTAAAGAAATAGGACATCGGAACACGGATGGCAATTCTGGCTTCGTAGTCATCATCTTCTTCTTCCTCTTATTGGATTTTACTTGCAGCTGAAAGGGAAAGAAGCCGAAGGAGATGAAACTCACGAAAGTGGTGTGAATATATATTTATATACACCTAACCTAAGCTTAAAAGCACCATGAGGAAACAATGATTAAGATATTATTTGAATGTCTTGCGTGTTATAATTTATTTTAAGATAAATTTCAATGAGCAAATGGCAATAAAAAAAATTTACTTTCGTATGGAAAAACTCAAAATTTCTTCAGCCAAAATAATATTTAGTTAATTCAAATTTTAACATCAACTCCACTTGCAACGTATAATAAACAACAACAGTACATATTGATCATTACATACCCAAGAGAGGTCATCTGCATTTATCATCGAAGTATTAGATTAAGTTTCAAAGTCGTTAAACATGTTGAGTTACGTTAAGATTCAAAGTTTTTAAACAGGTATTAAGACATAATTTAATATATGAGTCGATTCAGAATTGAAAGGAGCGAGGATCCATTGACAGTGGAGTTGATGTTTCTTGTTTCTCGCAGGAAGATATCAGACCCTAGACTTGTTTTCACCGTTCATAGCGGTGTGTACTTGGCCCTGGACTGCAAGTGCGTGCAGAAAGGAGCGAGGATCCATTTTGACTTTGACATAGTGCACATGGAACTGCTATATATTGATGCGTTGCAGTCCATCATTGGTTAAGATCAGGGTAAGGAATGAGACCCTATTTGGGTGTTTGGTGCTTGGCCAGAACAGGCCACCAAGAAAAATGTAGAGCTGGTAAAAGCTAAAAAGACCGTCAATGGTACAAATAATGACGGAGGACTGAAATCAGCAGTGGTTGTTGCCGCTCAAGGAATAGTGGACAAATCCATGGAAGGGATAACAAAGATACAAATAAGGCTGACCAGTACTCAATGAGGAACCTAAATAAGCTGCTGAATAGAGCCGAAAGACAGAAGGAACAATAGCTCTCGGTTCCATGGGTTTTTAATGGGTTATTAATGTCCTAATAGATGGTTTTTCATCATGGATGTGCAAGGAAATGAAATGGGCCATGTGGATTTGAGCATGGGCTCCATGGGTTGGATTTCTGTTAGCGTTGGGCTTGGGCAAGGCTCATCATGATATTTTTTTTAATAAATAAATAAATTAATTAATTAATTAATATAAAATGATATTTTTTTAATAAATTAATTAATTAATTAATTAATATAAAATGATGTATGGAGATTGACCACATAAGAGTTTGGTTGACCACATTGTCATGATGTTGACCACATGGTCATGGTGTTGACCAAATGGACATGGGGATAACCACATGGTCGTGGTGTTGACAATATGGACAAGAGGATTCATCATATGATACTTGTCATGACCATATGGTGTGAGGTTTAATTGGATGGTAAGATGTTCAATTGATCAATGTTACCATCCAAGGGTGTCATTCAACTTGGAGGTTAAGGGACACATTAGGGTTTAATGAGGTTAGAGAAACCCCTGGTGCAGTCAATTAGTTCAATTTTGGTCAAAACAAGGGTAGACCTAATTGATTTTTACCATCACAAGGTGACATCAAATTTTGAGTCCAAAAGGGTAGATTATGGTTTAGGGCTTGTTTTTAGAGTTTAGTGGGGCTAGGGAGACCCATAATGAGGCTAAGGCTCAATTTTGGTGAATCCATCCCCCATTATAAATTTTTTAGTCACTGCGGTCTTTAGGCCATATGGCGAGGTTCCTTGGGTTTTCGTTTCGCTTGGGTGACCCGAGGCATGTCTTGCCTATGGTGGTCAATTTGTGTTCCTCACTTTGTAAAAACCTGTTGACTTCACTTTTGGTTGAGGTCTAATTTCCTCTTTAGTAGCCTAGGTCTAGCCATAGGACTAGGACTTTCATGTTGACTATTCCTAGAAGACAAGAAAAGGAACCCTCACCATTAGAAACTCTAAACTATTCCTTTCTCAACTTGAAGTTCCACATGTTGGTCTTAACCTATAGCACTTAGCAGGTGAGGCCAATATGGGGTAACTCAAGGGGAGTCCCCATAGGATTGTTTGGCCTTAGGGTCAACCCTTTTGGTGTTTATCTTACGTTGGTGCATACATTGTCACTCACTTGCACATTACATCCCACTCATAACCCTGAACCTAAACTTGTTGACTTTGATCCATTGATCTTTCGGGATACACATGTAGATGGTCCCCTAAACTCACTAGCTCTAGGCTAGTGTTTAGATAAGACCAGTACATAGAAGACCCAAATGGAGACTCCATTGATCCATAGCTTAAATAAGCTAGTTGGAACTGCAATTTCACCGAAATACCTAACTTAGCCTTTTGCCCCCCAAATCAATCCAATTTACCAAAACACCCCCAAACCTTAAGTTTGAACAAAATTCCCAATTTCACCCTAAATACCCAAATTTGTTCAAAAATCATCTCAACCCATTTGAAACCACCCAAATTGCCTAAAATCTCCTCAAAGAACAAAAATTACCAAAATACCCTCCTCAAATTGCCAAAATTACCAAAATACCCTTGGTGGCCAAAACTTTCCCAAAAACCCCAAAATCATTTCAAATGCCCCCAAAACAAATTTAGACTCTTTGACTGAACCTAGTTTGGCTAATTGGACCAACTTTGACTAAAAGCCCCAAATTGCCCTTAAAGGCCCAATTACCCTAATTCACCCCAAATGTCCACCAATTTGATCTCAATCTTCTCCAACTCCAATCCTAAACTCAAATTCATCATGAAAAAAGTTCAATTCAAACCAAATCCAATTCCAATTGACTCACATTGTGAACCCAATTTCAATCCAAACCAAAATCCCTAATTTTGACCATATGGCCTAATCTCACCCAATTGAACCCTATAGCCCACTAACTTCCTCCAATTTGAATCTCAAACCATCTATAACATTCCTAGACATCAAATTAAACCATCAATTGGACTTTTTAAGGCTTCAATTTCAACCCAAATTCAAAATTCCCAAATTAGCCCCAATTTAGCCATGTGCCCATAATCCACCAAATTGAATGCCCTAAGCCCAAAATTAGCACCCACTTAATGTTGAGAACTATTTATAACATCCCCCTAGACCATTTTGAGTCATCAATTTGGAATTATCCCAACTTTAGCCTAACCTAAACCTAAGTCCAACCTAATATGCCTAAGTTGACTAAATGATCAAATACCACCAAATTGAACTCCTAAATCAATTCAAAACCACTCTAATTTTTTTCTAAACTTTTTATGACAATCATTTACACAAAATTTCTCAATCAATTGAGTACAATGTCATGGATAGCCCAACCCAAATCCATCTTCATGCCAATTTGACTCAAATTGAACACATGCACCAAAATTGACCAAGCCATGCCAAATTGATCAATCCAAAGCTTCTACAACGATCAAGTACAACCTAGTGACCAGGCTAGACTCACCTAGACCACCATAGAGGATCTATGGACCAAAGGTCCCCTAATTTAAGGGATTTCATCCTATTTTTGGCCTAATCTTGAATTATCTTTCCATCATGCCATACCATTAGGGGTTAACCATCATTAGCCACCCGCTGACATCCCTGAGCCAAGAAATGACTAAACCCTTGCTAGCCACCACCACCTCCTCTAGAAACAGGCAGCCCAAGGGAACTACCATTGTACAAAACCCAAATTTAAACTCACCTAAGCTTGATAAGTCTGATTGGCCACTAACGCTCTTCATCCCTCCACGTAAGCACTGTTTTGCATCCATCAATTGCCTCTGGTGGCCACCCTAAGCTCCTCTATTTAAATAGCCCCCTTCACAGCCAAAGGGGAGAGCATTAAAATTCTTGGAGAAACTCTGCTAAAACCTCACCAGAGACTCTCCAACAACTCCTCAGCTCAAGCCCACCATTTTTTCCCTCTGGTTCTCCTTGTGAGAGCCCAATTTTGAGCTCAAAATTTCAGCTCAAACTAGAATAGATTTCTCTACACCTCCACAATCCACTAAACTTTAATTAATTGTGCCCACACCATCACCAGAGTAAGAGGAGTTGACTCCCCACAAAAGCCCCATCCTAAACATCCTCTACCATAGCTCTAGACTAACACCTGAAATCGAGCTTGATCGAAATCATAGCTAGACACTTCACCATTGTCTAAGAACTCCTCTGGAGGTTCTTTGGGTCCATCTAAAGCTACTACAACCATCTGATTGAGGCCTCCCCTGTCAAACAAAGGTATTGAGCCTCAAACCTAAGCAGAGCTTATTTTGATTCTTCATTTGTAATGGTTTGATTTCATGCTTGATTAACCATATGGATAGAAGCGTCTTGAGTAGATAAAGGTTTAAAAACAAACCCCATGTGATTTGGTTGACTCTAGACGAAGATCTTAAAGTTTTAACGTGAACGGTTCTTGGGTTTGGACACTTGGGGACGATGACGGAGAGCCGTCTGATCACGCATTTATTAAACAGACATATGAGATCGAGCCGGATGAATGGATGGATGAAAAGGCAGGCTGACAAGGCCGCTACATGGCTTGCGGCATTAAATGGCAGAGCGTCACATTGAGACTTCAGAATGGTAGAGGTTGAGGTGGCGCTATGTGGATAAGAAGATAAATAAAGGGGTTTTGACTTATTTTAATGCCTGAGCTTTGAAAAATCATATCTTTGTGTAGAAAAATCATAAAAATAAAATAAAAATACCCTCTTGCTTAGTGAACAGAGGAAAATAATTTGGATAAAAATGATAATTATTTGTTGACACATCAATTTTTAATGAATTAAATACTCTCAGGAGTATTTTAATTCATTATGATCAAGCATTGCTCACCATAGCTTGAAATTTTTTGGGTTCATTCCTTTTGATAGAGACTTTGTTCTCTGATTTTTTCAAGATCAGAGAGCTTCTTTGTGCTTCTAACTCTAATGTTGAAGTTAGGATGGATACTTTGGCTTATTTTAATTATATAAACTAAAATACCATTTATAAAATTATGAAAATAATTTTAGTAGATTTCTTATTACCAGAGAAGCTTAAGAAAAATGTCATGATGGTTTGAATAGTTTTGTA